GTATGCCTGAAAAGGTGGATCCGGTGCTCACGATGCCCACATTTCTCAGTCTGATCTGTGAGCAGATCGACGCTCAGGCTCGAGACGACCCTGACGACTGGTAGCCCGATTGCACAAAGGCTGGGGTTGCTGCCCCACCCCCACCATACTAGAGCTCCCCAGAGCTCTTATGAGCTCATCCCGCATTGACAGCTGTATTGTAACTCAACATTATTTCTCGCGTCCTCGGGCTTTCAATTAGCTTTTCTTCAATTCAAAATACCACACTTCTCTCACCTTCCCATACTCATACGCAGCAATGTCGATTCCTTTCCGCCAGACCCAGCGTAAGCAGTCGCGTCAACTGTCAACAGATCCCCGCAATGAGCTCCACCCTCAAGTCGACCACTACATCGGTATCGATGTTGGTACCGGTAGTGCTAGAGCCTGTATCATGAACGATCAGGGAGACATTGTCGGACTGGCCTCAGAGAACATTGGCTTATGGCAACCACAGACTGGCTACTATGTACTTAACCCGCAACAGGCAAATTGCGAGACCCAAAACTAAAGCGAACCCAGGAACAATCCACAACAGACATCTGGCGATGCATCTGCTCCTCAGTCCGCCGAGCCATGGATCAGCACAACATCGACTCGAGCACTATCCGTGGTATCGGTTTCGATGCGACCTGCTCGCTTGCGGTATTCAGAGACGACACAGATGAGCCTGTCGCCGTCACTGGACCGAACTTTGACAACAAGGACGGCAACGACCGCAACGTCATTCTGTGGCTCGACCACCGACCTGTCGAGGAAACAAACAAGATCAACGCTACCAAGCACAACCTGCTTCGCTACGTCGGAGGCAAGATGTCCATCGAGATGGAGATTCCCAAGGTATTGTGGCTGAAGAACAACATGCCGAAGGAGCTATTCGATCGGTGCAAGTTCTACGATCTGACCGATGCTCTCACACATCTGGCTACCGGCAGTGAGAGCAGAAGCTACTGCAGTGTGGTCTGCAAGCAGGGCTTTGTACCTGTTGGAGTCGATGGTAGTGTCAAAGGATGGCAGGAAGACTTCCTCAAGGAGATTGGCCTCGAAGATCTATGCGAAGACAACTTCAAGCGCATGGGAGGCGTTGACAATGTGGTTTGTCCTTCGCTACTATTCTTGACGGTCCCGGCTAACAAGCACACAGAACGGACGCTACCTCACTGCGGGCGAGCTCGTCGGCACACTTAGCGAGAAGGCGGCACAGGAGATGGGCCTGCAACCCGGTATTGCAGTCGGAAGTGGAGTCATCGACGCCTACGCTGGCTGGATCGGTACCGTTGGCGCCAAAGTCAAGCTCGATGGGGATACTCTTGACATGGACCAGCCTAAGAACGATGTTTCGCAAGCCTTCACGCGTCTCGCAGCCGTAGCTGGGACATCGACCTGCCACCTTGCCATGTCACGCGAGCCCGTCTTCGTCGACGGTGTCTGGGGCCCATACAGAGACGTCCTACTACCAGACTACTGGATGGCAGAAGGAGGGCAAAGTGCGACAGGTGAACTACTCAAGCATGTTATTGAGACACACCCAGCCTTCAACGAAGCCGTGTCTGTCGCCGAAACGTACAACACCAACATCTACGACTACCTCAACGAACATCTCCGCGAGATGGCAGACGCGGAGAAAGCCCCACACATCGCCTGGCTTGGACGTCACTTCTTCTTCTATGGTGACCTCTTCGGCAACCGCTCCCCTATCGCCGACCCCAACATGAAGGGATCTGTCATCGGTCTGAGCTCCGACAAGAGCCTAGACGGCCTGGCACTATACTACTACGCGACCATGGAGTTCATTGCCCTTCAGACACACCAGATTGTTTCTGCGATGAACGCCTCTGGCCACGTCATCTCTTCCATCTTCATGTCCGGTTCGCAGTGCCAGAATAGTCTGCTGATGCAGCTCATGGCCACTGCGTGCGACATGCCGGTCCTGATTCCACGATACGTACACGCAGCTGTAGTGCATGGCGCGGCTATGTTGGGTGCAAAGGCGGCCAGTACTGACAAGGACGGAAACAGCGAGCCGCTCTGGGATATCATGGACAGACTGAGCAAGCCCGGTAAGACTGTGAAGCCACTGGCTGATAAGACGGTCAAGAAGCTGTTGGACGCCAAATACAAGGTATTCTTGGAGCAGTGTGAGGGCCAGCAGAGGTACAGGAAGGAGGTTGATGCCGCCATTGAAGGGTGGGCTAGCAAGTAAATATCACAAGTGGTAGTAGTCAAGGACACGACGATGAAAGGGATGATATCCATCATTAATTAGAAATTTATTCTGGCCACAAGACACTTGCCGAGGGGATCGTTGGTGCATGTTGTGTGTATAACCCAACTCCCCGCTTATGCCATCGGATATGGAAACTGCATGACTGCTCCGAGTGTTGTAGGTCTTGAAACCCGGCTGCATGCAGTCTGCTCGTTGCTATCGTCTGTAAAAGGGTATATCGTACAGGGGAAATTGAAGAAGATGTGTGCCGGCCGTCGAGCTCTAGTATCGTCGGCGGGGTCCACGTGGTGGTTCTCTGCGACTAGCGTCGTTAAAGCCGTATCGTCCATCTTGGAAGCTACCAGCGCGTGCGCCCGCACCGGTGTCGATGTCCATGTCATCCATGGACTGCGTAAGGCGGGCAGGCGGTGCTCGTGCGACGTGGGTGCTCGCGGGAACATCCTTCATGTAGACGTAGAGGAGTCTGCCATCAGCCTGTTGATGGAGTTAGTTTTAGTCCAGCAAAGAAGAAGCTCGCCGGAACACTGACCTTCTGGTTGTTGAACGTCGCGATAACATTCTCGGCGCCCTCCCTGCTCACAAACTGCAGCTCGACCATGACCGTCGGGCTGGAAGATAAGAGCCTGCAGCCCAACGTCTCTCCTCCAATCGGGGTCATGACGGCCTCGATATCAGCGGCCGTTGTTCCAGGTGCAAAGTTGCTAGCAATGACGGTACACGGACCGCCCGTCGCGGCACCTCGAATGCTAATGCCCGGTGCAGCGTCATTGCTGCGTGTAGCCGCAGCGCGACCAAGGACGGGAGCAAATTTGGTGTACGCTTTGCTGTTGCGCTCGACCTGCGATGCTGACGCCGTCCGAGCGAGGTTGTTCCTGTTGTTGGCGGCACCGCGGGGGTTGTTCAACTTGTGCAGATCGTGTTGCCATTTCCCGTCGACGTTGCCGGCTGGTTTCGCGCTCGCTGATCGCTTCTGGACGCCAGCGCCACCGTTTATCCGACTGAGCAGCGATGGCTTTTCAGATTCAACTCGCGCCCGGCCGCCGGCGCCTGGTGCATTCGCTTTCCGGCCTCGGCTGCCAGCTCCGAGGAACTGTTGCGCGAGGGCTTCGTTCTTCTTCTTCTCGCGGGTCTGCTTGACGAAACTCTCGAAAGACGCGGTGGTTGAGGCGACCATGTTGAGCGACGGTGGAAATGGAGAGTAGTGGTGGTGGTCTGGTATGGAGTGGAAGCGCGTAAGTGTCGGCCTAAGGACAACCAGCGAGCGCGTCTACGAGAACCTTGACCCGCTTGGATCAAAGCTCGGGCCACGACCCGCCCGGCGAAACGAAACACCGCCGCGAAAAGTTCCCGTACAAAACTTGAGCCTGCAGCTTCTCTCTCTCACTCCAACAACGCGCCCAACTTTTGGTAAGTCAACACACCCGCTCTTTCTTTGTTTCCTGTTGCTATCATGATGAACACTTGTGTCGCCCCTATCATACATTCTATGGTGATCCGACCACTCAAGCCAAACGAGAATACTGATCTTTCGCAACATCTACCAATCTGTTACTAGTAGTTTTTTCAGGACATCAGCTAACAAATTATAAAGGTCCCATTGTTCTCAGTCACAGTATGACTTCGCGATCATGATGCGCCATTAGATGCGCTGTCGCCGACGTGCGGCCCGCAGCTCCACGAAGCCTTCCGTCCATCGCATAGCCTCTCCGTCCGTTGGTTACAAGCAATAGCAGACCTCGATATGATGTGGTCGAGACGGCAAGGCTTCGTGGGCTGCGATAGCGTTTGAAAGGTTAGACCACACCCCCGTACCCCAAGCACCCATCCTTAGATGATGAGCAACAAATGTATTATCAAATACCGACCACTTCGTGGGGAATAAACTAGTTCGATTACCTGAATATCTTTCCACCCTCGAGCCTTTGTCAAAACGTCTTCTCGTGGAACCGTTACTGACATCGCTCTAGGTATGCACTAGATTGAAAGTTCACTTGATACAGCTACCAGCTCTCATTGAAAAGGTACATAACCCATTCTCTCTTCTTTCCTTTTGCAATGATGAACACCAATTCATGCTAACTCAGACGGGGTTCGCCTCACTGATTGAAAAAACATTCGAGACTTTTCATCTTTCGGCTGATTGCTCTCTCACCTGCATCTTTATTCAGAATCATAGTCTACGTTCTGTGCTAACTGTCAATCGCAGATCACTCAATGTCGATACGATCTATATCAACTGCGCTCCTCTTCCGACCAAGCAAGTGACATCAACGCGAGATGGATGGAATCGAGCGATTGTTCAGTGACATGACTGGAGACTAGCTTGTTCGGTCGATAGATGTTCGTCGACACGTATATAGCTACATAGGTCCATCACTTTCAACAAATACGAGAGACTCACTATTGCAAATCTTCCATGTGATCATGCGAACGGTACGCTGACGTGAGGTCCCTGCATGCTGTCCATGTATTGAGATTGTGGAATGAAACATGCTAGCAGACAATCTACACAACTGCAGTAATGCTGCATCAACTCATCTGGTTATTTTGTCGTCGTCTGGACTGCAAAAGGAAATTATGCGGTCTCTTCCTTGTCCAAGCTGATACCAGGACTGGGGACGCGCAGCGGTTCCGGAGTTTGGGGAACGATCTCGAATGATCTCCGGACACTTGAAACAATTCCCCAACCCAACGTTGACAGCTCAGCTAACACGCACTCGCAACGCACATCAAGATGGCAGCGAAGCCCGAAGACGTAAGCACAGCACCCACGGAAGGCGCCGGTCTCTTCAGTGGAGCAGGCCCGGAGAAGCAGCCCGAGCCTAATCCTGTAGCCGACTCTGCCGACAAGAAGGACGATGGAGATGCCGTCGACAGCGCAACCGCAGCGGTAGCGGATCTTTCGGTCGACGAGAAGAAAGAGGAAGCAAAGCCGACGGAAGTCACACCTGAAGCTACTGCCCCAGCTCCTGCAGCCGCTCCCGAACCCGCATCCAGCGACGCCAAACCCGAACCCAGCACCGTAACACCCACCCAAGGCCCCATCTGGCCCGAGACCGCACCCGACCACCCACTCACGAAGTTCTACGACGCCTTCGAGGCTCTCACCGCCGAAGCTCAACACAATGAAGTCTACGGCATCGAGCTGAGCAAGTCGAAGCCCTTCCACACCAAGCTCATACTACAAAAGTTCCTCCGGGCCAACCAGAATGATTTGGACAAAGCCAAGTCACAGCTGCTCGACACGCTGAAGTGGAGGAAGGAGTTTGATCCAATCAAGGCAGCAGGAGAGACATTCCCGAAGAACAAGTTCGATGGATTAGGCTACGTGCTCGAGATTGAAGGTGTACCCGAGAGCCCCAACAAGAAGGATATCGTTACCTTCAACATCTACGGAGCTGTCAAGGATAACAAGGCTACTTTTGGCGATCTGGATGGGTATGCTTCCCCCATTCCAAACATAATAAAATAAACAAGACCATGCTAACAGAACCCCACAGCTTCCTCCGCTGGCGCGTAGGCCTCATGGAAAAGTCCGTGCAAGCGCTCAACCTGCCCGCCGCCACAACACCCATCCCCAACTTCGGCGAAGGCCCCGACCCATACCAAGGGTTTCAAATCCACGACTACCTCCAAGTCTCCTTCCTCCGCCGTGACCCCCTCGTCAAGACTGCGACCAACAAGACTATCGAGATACTAGGACGCCACTACCCTGAGACGCTGAGCAGGAAGTTCTTTGTCAATGTACCTGTGGTCATGGGCTGGCTGTTCAATGCGATGAAGTTGGTTGTGGCCAAGGAGACGAGCAAGAAGTTTGTTGTGTTGAGCTACGGTAATCAGCTTGCTGCTGAGCTGGGCAAGGGTGTTCCGAAGAGCTATGGTGGTGAGAGGGGGGAGTTGGCTGAGTGCGCTGAGGGTATGAAGATGGAGTAATGATACAAGCTGCATGAACTGGTGGTATGGAGAGGGGAAGATGGTAATGGTAATGGCAGGAGACTGAGCGTGCTTGTTTGACTTAGGCCTTGTTATACCCCACTCAAAACTGTTCAATCCTTTCGAGAGCAACGGAGTCAAGAATAAATGTTTTCATACTGAAGTTGAATACTGCATATGTACTTGTGACTTCGAAACGCATTGTCATCATGCTCAGTGAGCAAAAGCTGTATGCGTAAACAGCTGGATATCATTACTCTTCTTTGCCTTCATCTTCTCTCGGCACCACCGCTCTGTCAACCCAGCCCTCACCCCTCAACACACCCAAGCCCTTCCTCGCAACGCCACTATTGACCGATCTGGGCGATACCTCGTACAGAGCATTAACCGTCGCCAAACTGACCACAAAAAGCAGCACATCCCCGTTCTTGAAACCCTTCCACCACCCCCTCTTCACACCCACCTTCCACAAGGAATCGATCGACATCCTCGCCGTATACAAGAAATTGCTCCTTCCGCCTTTCCTCTCCAAGAAGGCCCAGAGTCCGCCTATGAAACCACCCAGGAACCAGCGTTGTGTTGACAAGAAAGCCCGGGGAAGTATGTTCTGGAAGAGACAGATGGAGCCCCAGCTCGTTCCTATGGCACCAGAAAGGAAGAGCGACATGCGCAGTATGCGCTTGGCCAGACTGTTCAACGAGGCAATGGGAGCGGAGAGGAAGGCTTTGTATTTCGTGATGCTCATGGCTGTGAAGAAGAGCGTGAAGAAGCGGGCGATTTTGGGGAAGGCTTGGATCCAGTATTGAACGTAGGTGCGTAGACATGACGGGTCTTGCGGGTGGAGTAAGGCGCATGACAAGGACTTGATGGCTGGATGCGCGGGAGACGTTATCGGAGAGATGGATGCCAACCGCTTTGGCAGCGTTTCAGCGTTGGGGAAGAGGATGGGCGATACGAAGGGTGGCCAGCGCTGTCGCGAGATCTCTGCCAGGTTGTCCACTATGTCAAATGTGCCTGGCCAGTGTGCTGTACTGGGATAGTCTTCGGGGCGCTTCTGTATATACTCTGGCGAGTTCTTCAAGATATGATCTCCGAATCCAGAGGGGAAGCAGTCGCGGTCGAAGACAAAAGCGTGCAGTAGCTGTCCGCAAGCGACTGGCATGATCATCCAGGAGCCGAACCAACTGGGCCTGTTCTTCATGTACCCCAGCTCCTCCAGGTAGTTGTAGCCAAATTCCAGGGCCCTTGTCATGATGTAGATGGCGATTGTGACGCGCAGCTGATCCCCTGGGTACACGGCGAGGAAGAAGCCTGCTAAGCTGGATCCAATAGCCGGTGCCAGCTTCGACGTCAAGGAACGTGCTATGCGTGGATTCCGCCGCCGGAACGACTTGCCTTCATGGCTGAGTAGGCTCTCGCGGATGCGCACGAAGATGCGCCGGAGGAGGCGGTGGAAAAGGAGTATGAGGGCGAGGGAGCTGCTGAGGCGGACGTTGGGTGACTTGAAGACTGAGGTTCTGGGCTGGTTCCTAAGGGATTGTTAATGCGCATCGATTAAACGCGACCAGACGTATGCCCACCTATTCGCTGTCCCCCGCGACAGAAGCCTGGTCTTGACGACTTCCCATGCCTTAAGTCCCGAGAAGGTCACGATGCCTAACCGCAGTGCCGCGCGGAAGGCGGCTACATTGTAGTCATCCGGGCCCTTGACAATAGCGTCGTATCGTTTCGGGGTTATTGTGCGCTTCTTGACAACCGGAGCGCGCGAAAGGAGGTACTGGTGCAGCAGCTGGTACTCCTTGGCCGAGATGGTGTAGCGGAGCGCATTGCGCAGTATCGGGTCGATTGGTTGCGATTTAGCGGGGCCCGGCGTGGGCTGCGATGCGCCAGACGACATGGTGCGCGTCTGCGATTGTATTCGGGCTCATAGTTTGAGGGGCTGTTGTTATTGTCATTAGACGGCACACGCGGAGTCTTGGGGAAGCTAGCATTGATGACGATCCCTGAAGGTTGCGCACAGGAGCCGCTCTTGACGGACCTCGGCAGTTTGGCCATGTACCCCAATCTTCTCACATGCCAACGACATTCCCTAGTCTGGGGCTACCTTAGCCCAAAGAGCTATCCCATGGTCCACAAATGGGTGTCTACTAACACTTGGTTTGTACGCGCATCTCTCACCACACGTTGCGCAAACCAAGATCACGAGAGAGCGGGTATGAGTTGTAAATCACATATGTATACTTGTCTATATACTCTATGGTTCCAAGGAAAACCCATGTATTACACCATCGCTTCTTCAGATGCGGACTGTGTATCATGTTTCGCACCAACCGCTAAATACAAACAGCGAAGACATAGAAAAGGAAAGCTGCACTACATTAAAATGTATAGCGTCTACAATGCGAATAAGGCAAGAACCGCACCGAACAGAGCACCCTTGGGCACAACGTTGAACGGCGAGGCAGCGCCGGTGAACTCGGCTGGCGAAGAGGGGCGGACGGCACCAGTACCCGTGGCAGTGCCCATCGGGACAGTGGCGGTTCCCATGGTAGAGGGAATGGGGTAAGGCGCACCACCTGCAGGTGTGGTGGCAGCTGGGGTCTGAGGAGGCTCAGCAGTGCCGGGAACAAGAGCAACGGGCTCAGTTGGGTTGGCGCCAGCAGAGGCGGGCTGAGTGGTGAAGTGAACTTGAGGGACAGTGAGGGTAGTTGTGCCGAATGTGATGGTAGTGCAAGGTGTCTCTTCAGCAGGGGTCTCGCCAGCAGCAGTGGTAGTGCCAACGACCTCAGTCATGGTGACAGAAGAAACAGCGGTAGTGATGGCAGGAGTCTCGCCGGCAGCAGTGGTGGTGCTAGCAGCGGGAGTCTCATCAGGGTGACCAGGGCCGTACGCGCTCGAAGCAGGGGCAGAGGGGCCGGCAGAGCTCTCACCACCAGCAGGGGGAGCGGGAGGAGCAGAAGGAGCAGCAGGGGTAGGGTTCAAAGGGATGTACGAAGGGCAGTCTCCGACAATGGAAGGGTTCTCGGGGACATGCTGGGCACAGATACCGATGAAGTATTGCAGACCCTTGCTAATCTCGTCGTCGCTACCGCAGCGGGCAGAGATGCAGTCAATGACGTTCTTGGTAAACTCAGGCTTGAGGCAGTAGCAGCTGGAGTCGGTGTTGTCCTTGCAGTCTGGGGCCGAGATCTGGAGCCACGAGTTCATGCACTTGGGAACCGAGTCGGTGATGTCGACGGGAGGGTAGCTGGGGCTGGAAGGCTGAGGAGCGGCTGAGCTGGTAGCTGGGACAGCAGATGTGACGACAGCAGACGAAACAACGGCGGAGGAGACAATAGCGGAAGAGGCTACAACAGTGGATGACTGCTCGCAAGACTCTCCGTATCCGCAGCCAGCAGCAGCAGAGCTCTCAGATGTGGGTGGCACAACAACAGTGGAAGACTCCGGTTGGGGGGTAGCGGTGCTGATGGAAGGAACCGACGCAGGGTAGCTGGTGATCTCCACGGCGGAGGAAGCTGGAGGAGTGTAGGCGGGCATGGAGCTGTTGGTGTAGGGAGCAGCTGAAGAGGCAGGAGTCTCGGCGGGTGGGCATCCCTCTCCACCGTACTGTCCACACTCGTTCGCAGAAGTGGCGGGAGTCTCGACAGCGGATGAAGAAGCAGGAGTCTCAACAGCAGATGAGACGACGGTAGTCTCGATGGTAGAGTAAGCCGTAGTCTCAACAGCGGAAGAAACAGCGCTGGAGGCTGGGGCAGTCGACGACTCGATGGCGATGGTGGAAGACTGAACCTCGCTTGAGGCGGGGACCTCAGGTGGAGGGGGCGGCGAAGGAGGCGAAGGAGGAGTGTATGGTTTCTCAGCGTCACAGTCGAAGCCGATGTTGTGGAAACCGATCTCGCAAGACTCCTTGTCACCCTTGTAGTGAGATCCAAGGTAGACCTCGACGGACTTTGCACCACCACACTGGGTGTTCTGCAGTGTTGATCCACCAGCCGAGCAGCTGCTGTGTTGCTTGCAGATGGATCCGTCTCCCATCTTGTAGTGGAGCTCGAGCTCAGCGTCGAACTCAGCCGAGACGTCCATGTAAGTAATGGAGAAACCGCGCTGGGCACAGCCAAATGCAGCGGGCTTGTTCTTCTGGATGGTGTTCTTGATGCACTTGTTTCCAAAGGTTCGCTTGCTCAGAGAGTCCCGCTTGCCGAAGGAGTTTGAGCATTTCCAGCCCCCAGAGAAGTCGAAGTCTCCATAGTTGCCAACATCCTGGCCATCGATGAGATCGGCCCAGTTGAAGCCGCCCTTCTGCTTATCGTCACAGACGTTGTTACTGTAGTCGGGAGTGCCGAAGTTGTCGAAGAAGTTCCAGGTGGCCGCGGCTTGTTGAGCGGCGAGGCCAGTGACCAAGAGAGCGTAGGTAGACTTCATGGTGATATATGAACGTCGAAATCGAATTTAGGTAGTAAAGCGAATATCAATGTATGTTGTAGTTGGACCTTAACGAATGACGGTCTAACAAGAGAACAAAGTCAAAAAGAGTGCGACTATGTTCGTCTTGGGAAGCGAAAGTAGCAGCAAATGCAATGCTGTGATTAGAAAACAAAGCGTGTGTAGATGCACTGAGGAGGAGGACGAAGGGTCAAGATATACTTCTACCACCAGCGCTCGTTCGAAACAAGCCGTCTCGAAACATTTCTAAAGGATTGGTCCACCGAGGGCCTCCGACTCGCATGCTCAGCCACGATCAGAACGAGTCGCCCAAGGAGGTTCCATGTCGGTCGTTGTCGCGCGCTCTGCAGGCCCACTCGGCAGTAGGGTCGTCGGTTACAAGATGACCTGGCTAAAGATGGTGGATCCCAGTCAGATGGCTTTGGCGTGAGCACATCGTAAGCGAACAGGGGCGCTTTCCGAAACGCCCTAAATAGCCCACCGGAGTAGACTATCATGCAGGTACGAGCCAATGGCGTCGGCTGTGTGTATTTTGGCAAGCCAAGAGCGTCAAGTAT